ACATGTCACGTTATTTTAATATTTTTCTATTAAACTTTGTGTTAAATATTGATAGAACTTTTTTATTTTAACTTTTATGTTAAACATCAAATATTGTTTAGCGCATACATAAGCTAGTACTTGAATGAATTATTGTTTATTTATGAACGACAAAATATTTTTAAAAATGTTTAACTAGGATAATATATTATTTTTAACCAGAATAAGTAATAACTTATGACTAATAAGAAATGAAAACATTTTAATAAAGTGTTATTAATTGTCTGTAAATAAATCTGTAGTAGGTAATTTATGAAAATATTTAAAACCTAATATATATGATTACAAGATTGTAAACATAATTTTAAAAGATATTTTGAAAAAATGTGTTAATAACATAGATAACATTTTATTTAATTTAAATAATTCTATAATATTCTTTTAAAAACTTAATGAAATTTTCAAATTTATATATCAATTGGTGCTACAATAACTACACATATGTATATATATATATATATATATACATACATATATATATGTGTGTGTAAAACAGTCAATTAAATAAGCTCTATTGATCATCGCTACTTAGAAAGTCAGAACCGATTTTTGTTCAAACGGATTAACAAATCGAGGAATGAAAAAAAAACAACCTTGTAAAATACACTGTAGGTATATAGCTATATAAAAAGTTTATTTATAAAAAAAAAATGTTTTGACTGTCAGTGGTTGCTATAAAGATATTTAAAATTATATTTAGTAACGTATATATATATAATTGTTTTTGTTTTGTCTTATGTATACATAGGTATGAATTTGAAAAGTATCATTTTTTTTTTTTTTTTATTACATCATCACTGTTCTTCAGTGGATATTAAATGTGGTATCAACTTGCAAAAGTCTTAAGAAAAATTAAATATAAACCAGACAAAAATTGACGAAAACAATGTTTTTAATAAGTTTAATTCAAAAATATAACTTTAATTTGAAACGAAAAAAAAAAAATTGTAAAATCGTATAAAATTAAAAACCTATAGAGTGGCTCACATATAAAAAAGCAAATCACTAAACACAAAATATGTAATTATCACTAGCGCATCGTACTGATCATATTTTATTGAACATTTAATAGTAAAAATGTTCATAAAATAATTCGATACTCACTTAGGTATTTTAATAAGGATGCTCGGATATCCCACAACGCTTAAGTCGAATTCAAATTTAATATCAGGCAACTCAAAATTATAACTAAATATGTTTTTTTTATCGGACAGTTATGCATAATAGGTTTGAAAATATTGAGCTAGTATGAGGAATACGGATCATCAACGCGATTATCAAATTCATAAATTACTTTAACATTATTATTGTGTATTCATAATTAAAATGTTTAATATGTGCATTGTTATGTCGGATTAAATATAATTATAAGTGTAACGTGAAATTATGTACTTACGATATTATGTTTTCCTCGACCTTCAAAATTATTACAGACTAATCCAGCTAAGATTTCGCATCACGAATCACTAGAAAACATGTTCATGAAAAATACATTACGTTATTAGAAGGAAATTGTATAGAATTACATATGAAATGTCAGTATGGGGGAAATAAAAATTAATTAAACAAAAACAACAATAATTATTCACAGTTTTGACGGTACAAGACACTTAAGTATTTTGCGTTACGATAAAATGTGAAAACGATGTTGTCGTTCGGATTCGACGTTGTCATTCGAAAACGAATAAGAAAATCGGTCCTCGAGTTCTCAATTTGAACTGGCAGTGGACCAGAAGGGACCACATGGCGATCACCGAGGGACAAAATTAGAGTAGAGTAGGAAAATATGTGTTTGGTCAATCTCTCGAAGCCATAAATTACATTATACAGGGCCGTGCTAGAGTTCCGAACGATTAACGAGACCCCGCGACGGAAACCTCGTCCGAATATTATGATAATAAATTGACGCCTAATCGCCGATTTCCAACTACGTTGTCAACGCTTGATGTGCAATAATACCGAGATCGGATATCCATTCACAATCATTTTTCCTTTTTTGACGTACATATACCGAGTTTGTCATTGTAAAAGCTCTGTATACATCATATAATTTGTATTCGTAGTGCGTCGGTTCGAAAACTATTTAATCGACAACTGAAACCCCACATCGGATCTGCGGCACGCGATGATTACCTCATAAACCAGTAACTAACCAGTGTTTTTACAGCCAAACTGCCTTCGCATGATCGAATTGATCTCGAATACTTGGATACGTTTTACATTGTATAATATTATGCAAGACAGGAGCTACACATTGCGGAGCCCCATGCAGGTTAAAGTAAAACAATAAGTACTCCTGTTAACAATAATACTACAAATATTATATTCATCGTGTTCAGTAACCAGTATTTGTTCAAACGGTATACTGGTACTGTTCTCCAGGACAAAACTATTATTTGAACTGTGGTTCGAAAAATAAATTATTATTATTGATAATGTTATCTTTTCTCAATTATAACATTTGGTACTTATGGTAACTTTTTCATAGTGAGTTTCCCTGCCGTGGGGCCCCGTGCAGATCCACCGGTTGCATTGCCCTTAAGCTGGCCCTGAAATTATGTATGAATTGTAAATATAAATTATATATTTTATATAGAAATAGCGACAAAAGCGGTTCTTCCAAGATAATGGTTTGTGAAAAGTGTAAGTATAAAAAGAATACAAATTCTACGAATGGACCACATCTATCTTTACGTTACAAGTGTAGTGATTTTGTTTCTTTTTCTTTCAAGTAATTACATTAAATTATGTTGACATTAAGTTATTTATTAAATTGTAAAAATATTACTACAAGAAAATAATTTGTACTCAATATTATTGTAATCAGATATAATAATTACTATAATTAGCCAAATATAGTTTATAAATATTTGAAAAGTGATTTTATGAGTTTTTTTAAGTACACGTATTGGTGAGAGGAGAGGCGGAGAATGGCAAACGGCGCTTGCTTAATTGAAAAAAAGAGTAGAAAAAATTTGGACGCAATATTTTTAGTCACCTTGTCTTTAACGTAATCTTACGGTCAATAATTTTTTTGGCTACGTTCAAAAGTCTATTTTTAAAATTCGATGTTTTGCCTCCTTCGTGCCCGCTAATTCTAAAGGTAGGTACTCATCACTATGTACACGTTTCAAAGTTCTGTTTTAAAAATTTATTTTTTACTCTGAATTTTTAACGAATATTTATGATCGAAAATACTTTTACATTGGGTTTCAAAACACGCGCAACTGTTAAACGCTCGAAGTAAGTAGGTATTATACAGAGCGATAAAAAGATAAAAATAAATTTAATTATGACTATTTGACGATGAAAGGTACGTTTTATCCAACCAGCAAACTATTTTTATTCAGTTCTTATAAACTATTATCCTTTTTAGACTTCCAAATACGTCCTTTAAAATATGATACATATGGCATTTTATATATTATTAATATCAAACGTAATATTATTATCTATAGAATCAGTTTTCTAATATACTATTATAATCAACAGATATTATAAAGCGTTACAATGTACGAAATTGGTTTTACCAATATACAATTATTTGCCATTTTTTAGGATAACTATTTCACTCTCCAAGTGTTCTTAGGTTTTAATAAAAGTAAAATTTATAATAAGCTATTCAATTTAACTGTTCTTTGAAATAACATCAAAGTTAAAAGGTTCAATAAATATGTTTATACGTAAATGTTATTTATTTTTAATGTATTAATATTAAGTAATATAAGAATTTAAAAAAAATATATTATTATTTATACTTTTTTACTTATAATTATATAAGATGTATCTTTAGCATTAGATAAGTAGATACTTGAGTTGATTAACTGCTGATTTTGATTTTTTTTTTTTGTTGCCAAATTATTCATACAAACAAGTACCTAGTAGTAATGAATGGTTAAGTAATAAATAATTAATATTCATTTTCCCATAGTCAGCATTTAATTATTGTCAAAGATTATGTCTAGACTAAAACCAATTTGAAAAATTCTAAATAATTTGTGTAGGTATTTATTTCACATTAATTGAAGTAAACTTAAAAGTAATATAACTAACAAATGGCTGATGATATAGTTTTGCTAATTTCTATTATTATTATCATTTATTAATCAGTGGAAAATGCAGGAAAGAATATCAGGGGTTGATAATATGTACAATTTTGTTAAAATGCGTAATTCATTAATCTATATATAATATATATTTATATTTATTATATTTGCTTACATAGTTAATAATTAAATTTAAATAAGATATGAAAAGTTGGATGAATAAAATGTACTAAAAATTTTAATTGAAAATAACTTTTTATCACTATTGTGGTCTGATATGAATCAAACTATCAAGATTCCATTATTATTTACTTTTATATAAAGCTAAGACAGGAAATTTAGAAATCATCCAAAATAATATATTGCACACTAATAAATATTATATAAAAACATAATTATATATTTACTATGAATTCATAGTACAAACTATTAAAAAATATTTTTACAGAACAATAAATAACATATAACAGATGTATACAATGTTTAAAGAAGATTTAGCCTAGTTTATATATTTTTTAATGAATCTATTGCGCGGAAAAACTATTTGAAGAAATTATAAATGTTAAATATAAATCATGCATTTCCTAAAATTATAATTTAGCGAATAGATATTTAACGTAACATTGAATATTAAAAACATTATTTGTATATATATATATATATATATATATATATATATACATAAACAAATATGTAGTTTATTTTTACATATTATGATTACTTATACCCCGGTACTAAATTGCTTCATTCATTAACAATAATTTAAGTAAAATGACAAATTCTTTTGTGTTTTCCCTTTTTATTATTTATTTTTTACATACAAATAAAGAAGAAATGTTACATGTATTGTTAATGTAATCAATATAATATTTAAAATTATATAATAATTAAAATCTATATTATTACATTAATTATAACAAGATACTTAATTTTATAGAAATATTCTAAGGTAAAAAATATATATAGATCATAATAAAACTGGCCCTCGTTCTCTTAATTGTTCTTTAAGATCTTCTAGAGGATGGCATTCTACATCATTACTTAATTCTTCATTGATATCTAGCAGATTACGTACTATTTGTTTAACTTGTTTTATATCATCTGGCTGGTTTTTAGCAGATATTTGTATGATTTTATCAAATTTAATTGATTTTAATGGTCGTATTTCTTTTGGAAATGATAAAAGAGCTTCTGAAATAATAAATAGAATATTTATATTTTTTAAATTAATCTACTTATTATGAAAATATCAAAATAGCAATTCTACTCACCATCTAAATTTTCTAATTGATCTTTAATTTCTAAATATTTCTCTTTGGCACCCTCAGTATCCATTTTGTTAATTAATAACATTGCAGGTTTATCAAGTAGTTCTTCTTTGTACAATTCAAGTTCCTGCAAAGTAAATATATTGTAACAATAATAAATTCAATTATTAGATTAACTCAAAGGTTGATAGCCAACAAAAATTTGAAACTCAAAATCATTTTATCAACTAGAAAGTTACTAAGTTAATAAGAAGTTACTTATTTTACAATATTAGTTTCCTAAATTTTGAAAAATTACAGATGGTTTAGAATAGTGTTTATATGAAAAAATTACCAAATAATAATCATAAAATTTGGTAGGATGGCAAAAACACATATGGGATTGTTATTTGTTGACCACTAGTAGAATTTATTGTAATAAAAATTAAAAACTAACTTTATTCAATAAAATAATTGTCTCTAAACATGATCTAAATTTATGTTTGGGATTTAATTGAAAACCATTAATATCAACAATAAGAAGCAGTAATTTTGTTCGCTCGACATGTCTTAGAAATCGATGACCCATTCCAATATTACAATGAGCTCCTTCTATAAGCCCTGGCAAGTCTGCCATTGATATTTGTCGTAAATCTTCATAGGACAAAATACCAATATTGGGTCTAATGGTTGTGACTATAATAAAAAAAAAATAAAAAATATAGTAAACAGTTTAATTTTGTTAAGATTTAACTTACATGGGTAAGATGCAATTTTAGGTTTGGCATTAGAAATAGCTTTTAAAAATGTGGATTTTCCAGCATTTGGAAAACCAACAAGACCAATATCAGCAATTAATTTAAGTTCAAGTTTTACAGATCGGCTCTCTCCTTTAACACCACAATATCCATTGGAATTTTTACCTCCTTCTCCTCCTTTAGCCACAATCAACTCAGAATCTTTTTCATTTAGATCACCTAGAAAAATAGAATGTTTCAAGTATGATTGATTTCACGAAAAAATTGGCACAAATATAAGTATCTTGATAACTAAAACAAAAAAATAACACAGAGCTAAACCAAAAAATGAATGAATGAAATTGTGTATTCAGCAATGGCAACAAATATATATTTTTTTTATCAATACTCAGAAAACTTAAAATAACAAAAATAAATGTGTAGCAAACACGAAAAGAATTTTGATAAAATATTTGTTTTAAACCAATAACAAATAACCAAGGTTAAGAACAAGCACATTAAATATTATAAACAATATTAAAATAAACTATATATTTGAAGCATTAAATAAAATATTAAAATGTACATAACACTGTTCCAGTATTTGTTGGACTTGGATAAATATGAATTCTGGAAATATAACTTTACTAATACAATTAATAAATATTAAGATAAAAATCTGAAAATAATTTAAATAAAAACACAATATGATTTTAATTTCTGTATTAAGAAGTATGAAACAGTATTACAAGCATTACATAATTTTGAAATTAAATTTTTATATTCACATATTTTACTACAATAAAATAATTATATAACAGTTATTTAATCTGCATATATTTACACAAGTGAAACTACTCATTACTTACCAATTAACACGTTTTTATCATCATACACAGTTATACCTATAGGCACGTTTACTTTTTTGTCCTGACCAATTTGACCAAGTATACGTCTACTATGACTATTTCCACCAGTTTCAGCTTGTATTTTTTTTCGTGGATATTTATTTAAAAAATCTTTTAGTGTCATACCTTAAAATTAAAAAATTAATTATTAAACAAAATATGTATGTAAACATCCAAGTCAAAAGTAATTCATATTTTGAATGTTATCTTAATTCGTGAGAAAATAATTCAAATAATAATATATGTTTAGCAATCGAGTTCTTGTTAATCTCTATAAATATTATGAGTATTATAAAAATATATTTGGTGTAAAATAAAATGCAGCAATTATTTTCTGAAAATAATAATTTTTTACAGGCTATAATTATTATAGCCTATAGATAATTTTAACAAAAAAACAAAAAGTATCTATACCAGCATGATATTTTTTAAATGTTGGATCTACTGCAAGGTAGTAGATATTTAGTTTATAGATTCATCCAAAATTAATTATGGGAACAGTTGATGAATATTAAGGAACACAAATAGGCGTGCCCAGACCTATATTTCAAGGGGTGCCTACTATACTTTTGGGCCCTATCTAAATTATCTCTTAGATATATTTAATACACTATAATCTATAATTGAATAAACATAACTTTAATTTTTAATTTAATATTATGGTTTACTAGTCCCAATGAATATGTTTCCTTGAATCTCGTATATATTTTTCTTGATAAGCTTAAATTTTTTATAATATGTAGTCAAATATAGCTGTTATATTATTATGAATTTTTGTAAAAAAAATTAAGAAAATATAGTTTTGTTTTTTCTATTATGAAACATCACTTATTTATAACCAAATACTTTAGAATAAATAACATGAATTAAAATATGGGCCCTGTACTCATTGACTTAAACTGTAGGACCCCATCTACAATATATTAGGGGTGTTCTAGCATATCTAGTACCGCCCGTGCGTACACGTATATAATACCATATAATAGGTAGAAAACTCCATTAACTAAGTGTTCTTCGAAATCAAAATAAGTAAATTAAATATACATAAAAAATAATGAACAACAATATCAAACTGGATATAGTGCTTAATTATACAAACATATGTCTAGAGAAAATGTAATATTATATATAATGTTAGAAATAATCCGATGTAAAATATCCATTGAAAAATTAGCTTCAAATCATCAAGATTATACTGCGTGTATATGATAAATTATGGTAAACATACCATCTGTAGCTACAAAACTGACATCACCGCCTTTGCCACCTTCACCACCATATTTTGGGAAACCAAATCCACCAGTTCCAGCTTTCACATGTACTCTCAAAGAGTCCAGAAATCTTGAATTTTGTTTTAAATAATTTCGAAGAGGCTTCAAGGTAGCAAATGTAATTGAAAAAGGATATTAATAACAAGTATAATCAATATTTCAGACAAAATAAACTCGATCTTTGTACCTTTGAATTTTTTTTCGATGAATTATACTGACGCACGACCATTTGTATTACTGCTTTGGTTGAAAAACAATTCATGGTAACCTCAGTTCGATTTTTTATGATATTAACATAATATTAAATAATATTAAAATCATTTAAAATAACAAATATTAATTTGTATAAAAATGTTATCAATGTTTTGTACTCGATGGTTGAAATTAGTGGTAAATGGCTTCATAACTGATAACCAAGGCTTTGATTGATAACGACCACGTGTCTTCGATATTATTATTGTTCACGCGATCTTACGGTATTTCCGCGAACTACTACTTGTACTATTTCGACGTAACGTGTCGTTGTTAACACTGAAGTGTACTACGAAGTCAGCAGGGAAATGGAAGGATTAATTTTGTCAAAATTCAATGCTCAACTTGAAGGGGTACGGAGCACCCCGACTAATTTTTAGAATTGTTGGTGTCCCCCTATTATTATTACGTCATAATTATAACACTTGACAAGTTTTGGGGACACTTTTTTTTTTTTTTTTTTTTTAATTTAAACAGGGTCCCCCTTTAATTTTGCCAAGTTGAGCACTGCTGAAATCAGCATTTTTATAACTATCACTTGACCGATATTTAATTACAAACAGTTTTTTGTTTAGTTTGTTTCGCATCACAGTCACTCTTCACTAATAATATCAGAACCATCGTAAATGGGGATCTTGAACTATAATTGGAGATGAAGGGAGACCGTTTTTCGAAAGGACAAAAACATAATGCACAACTAAAAAATAAGAAATAAAACATGAAAGATCAAACCTTGATGTTTTTTTTTTATTTGTGGGAACTCGTGGATCCTTGCCTGTCCCGACGGGGCTTATTTATATTCGGCTCGGGCGGGTAACCCACGTCGTCACGCATACACTTTTTTCGAGTACTATCTACAATGTAGATTCTAAATGTAATGTCACAGAATGCGTTAACATTAAAGAGTTGGGTAATGTGGTTGTCAAGCGGGAACCGCTGTCGGTGGACACTGGTTCCGGTGGTTGCGTCGGTCGTAGGTCTATTTTTCGTATGAATATGAATTCGTATGAAAAGGATTCCAGACAAAACTCGTGGACGTAAATTCTCGGGAACCACGATAACATCGGAAATTTTGAAAAAAATCGAAAACAATAATGGCTGTTAACAAACGCTTTATCATGAACGAAAATATTTTATGGCAAAACGTTTGGACTAAATATTAAGATGAATTTTTATCGACATTAAATAAACAGTACAGTTTTTTATAATTTTTGAATAATAAAACCAAAATTGATTTGTTTTGTTTGATGTAAAATTGAAAATTATTTCGAAGTTTTTTTCAGTTTTCTCTTTTGAATCGAAAAGAATTATAGAGAGGATTGAAAAGTAACTTCTCGAACGTAATTGTCCAGTCTGATTTTTTAATTTTATATAAAACAAAAAAAATACACATATGCTGATGACAATTTACCATCGGAAACCGAATAAAATAACTGATTTCTTTTCTCTTTTGAGGTTAATATTTCATTAAATAAATAACAAAATATCTGATCGACACTAATGCATGTGCACGGTTTCCCACGAATAAAAACACTATATAATAAAAAATTGAATTACTTTTACTACATAAACAAGGCAAACAGCTTTTTCAACTACGCAAAATTTGTTCAAACGCGTATTGGAAAACCTTTATTAATATTTATTCATTGAAATTTTTTGTTTATTCACAACGAAAATACTATACCTCTTTGTATTTTATGCAGTATGTATACGAGTATAATGTCTTTTTGGGAATAGAAATAAAAATAATTTTCATTAACCAAAAAATTCTTCAAAATATACCATCTACACCACTCTCATGAAAAATAATAAAAGACATTTTTTCTAGAACTAATTTTGCACTTAGGATTAACTTGGGATTTATTTTTTTTTTATTTCAAAGGTCAAATGGTTTTTATTTGTTTCTAAGATTGCTTAAAGTTTTAACTTTACGTGACTTCCGTACGTATATTTTAATTAACTAGTATATTATTTATGGATATATTAGTATACCATAATATTATGCCGTAAAGCAGGAATTCTTTATTCCATACAGGATCTTCAAGGGGACACGAAATAAGATCACTATTGAAAATACCACGAAAAAAGAAAATTGAAAAAAACGTTGAATGGATAATAAAATAATAAACAATATTGAGCTGACATAATGGATGTTTTGGACGTTGGAAAGTTTATTATTTATTATAATATGTATCTGCACTTTTATACCAACTAAATTCATGTAAGCATTTATTTTTTATGATTTGTATTTTAATTTTTAAACAAAATCTATTTTTTTCTCCAAGTTGGATATAAAGTTTTGTTCATTCAAAGTGTGAATTTATATTGAAAATATTTTCGCCTTAAAATATAAACACGTACATAATATTAATTATACCCAATCACACTTATTATGAACATTTTACATTTTTTTATATTTATATTATGTAGATAATAATATATTAAACATATTTCATTTTAGTTTTCTATTTGAAGGTGTACATTACTGTATAATAGTTTCACTATATAATTTTAAAACCTTGACCCTTTGTACATATGAGTATAATAATATGTATTTTTGTATACTTAGCTAAATATTTAACAACGATTGGAAATTGTCCCATGGGCCATGACACCAACCAATGTCACGAAGATCGGACACCAGTTAGGTATGTACATATTATGTATTTTTTTTATTTATAAATTACTAGCTAATTCAACAGATATTTTCCTGTCTTAATTATGAATATTGAATTCAAATTGGTATAGTTAATAAAAAAAGTATTTAAAAAAAAATGTTTATTATTCTAATGCTTTATTATATACAACATTCTTAATTTTTTTTCTTGAGCATATATAAATATTTTTGTTGGTATTCTGATACGGGAACAGGTGACATATAACTGGCTATGTGAAAAACATGGATTTTCAAGATAAATGCCACAAACACTTACCCACTACCATTGAGATTTATTTATCAACATTATAAATGCTAGCCGCACTGGAAATTGCAACCGTTTAAAGTCGAATGGCATGTCGTTCGGAATCAAAGGAATCCGTGGAATCAAAACGTCTTCACCTTTTTACTTCCCTTTCAAAATTGTGGCTTCGACGACGTTGCTCATTAATTCCTTCGCTGCAAGTCGGGTGCCATTACAAAAACGTGGCTGGTTTATATTCCGGAACATAGTGATGACCGAACCGATTTTTAATTGCAGATTATGATGTGATAATCCAGGAAATTACAGCGAATTTAAAAAACTCCGTTGGATAGTTGAAAGCATCATCTTGGTTAGTAATGGAATCAATCGATTTGCATGTCATTAATTCGCCAGTTATCTAATTTTGAATCTGAAAATTCATTTCGTTGACATCAACGGTTTTTGCAGCCATTATAATTCATTCGCTCAACTATACATGATCTTTGTAATCTTGAGCAATATTTGGGAAATTCTTCTCGATGAGTTCGGTCATAGTTTCAGTACAGTAACAAATATTGATAGGACATATGATGTATCCAGACGATGAGTCACCAGGTATTTTGCTATTACCAATATCAAGCAATTATTTGGAAAAAACTTCTCTAGATTGGTCATCCTGCAATTCGACTCACATGTTCATATTTAATTTGAGCGTTTTAATGTTTTTCTATAAAATGGATGACTTTAAACATGCATTAACTTCGTTGACTGGCGTTTATTGTGGTATTACTGGTAATGTTTGGCGAAAATCACTTACCAATAAAATCATTGCACCACCAAACCGGTTATGTTTTTTTTGTAAATCTTGCAACGTGAAGTCAAATGCTCCCAAAGATTTTTTTGTATGCCATTGTGCACTCATCCTAAACTATTAATTTGCTCTGCTGCAATACTTTGGAAATCGCAGAATTTGTTGAAGGGTTGCAAGTTGTCGTTTCATTCATTTTTATGTTCTATGGCATGAATTGATTGATGTATCAATCAAACAAAAAAACAAAAAAATATTGTACTTATCTATTATAAAACTATACATATATATATATATATATATTATATACTATACATAAAACTTGAAAAATCATTTCAAACTTTGGAATGTTGCTTAAAAATAAAGTTATTCAAGATTTCTTAAAAAAAAAAAAAAAACAATCGCGTTTTTAAGCATATTCAAGTTAAGTCCAAGAAACATAATTTTTGAAAATAAACAATATTTTAAATCTCTTTATTAAGTGGAAAAATTCCTATTCAATTAAAATAATCTTTTTATTCCGTCGGAAATAATTTATATTATCTTAATCTTCTGGCACGATTTAAATATGATATATATTTTTTAAATAAAAGCAAATAAAAAATAAAATAAAATAAAATAAAAATGTAGTTAAATATTGAGTTCAACATGCTTATATTATATTACTTAATGTATTATATGCCCTATGTAAAAATGAATTGTTGTTTAAAATGTTAATAAAAAAACATCACATCACATAATAAGTTGGAATTCTCTTTTTTTTTATTTTTCTATCTTAAATTACTAAATTAAGTTGTTTTTTATGAAATATTTTTTTTTGAAATGCATGGTACCTTATAAAACATAATACATCTAGATTATTTTCATAATTATCAAAAGTTTTATTACATTTATATAATATTTAATTTCACTCTTAACAAATTTAAAAATATATCTATTAGAATGTATGTCACTATAGATGTTACATACGTTTTACAACGATTACACATGGTATGTCTGCACATAATGAAAATAAATTATACATATTATACATATTCGTAGTACAAGTTTTAATTTGGGATTTTATGATTTTGATTAAAATATTCATCTATGTTTATCTTTAATTTAAGTTAAAAGTTACAGTCTGAAAAATATATTCACGATGGTTCCAAGTTCGGTTGACATATTTAAATTAGGGTTTTATTAAAACTATTTTGTTTTAATAAACAAACATGCATTTTTATTAACTTAGCTTTCAGTAATTAAAATATATAGGTAGATATTCAGCTGCTTAGAATAAGTATATACCAATTATTATATGTA